AGCAATGCATTTTTTAAGAAAAAAAAATATTATCAGCAATAAAATTCTTGTCAGTATCTGTCTATATTTCTGAGATGAGGTATTATGTACACTATTTACATTATTTGAACTATTGTCCTCATCTTTGTCGCCATATTTATTACAACGTTTTTTAAAATTGTACGCCCCGGTCTTCTTTCAGGTGGTTGGAATGTCGAACTGAACCCTTTATTTCGCTCACTGGGGTAGACTGTTCTAGTTCCACGTGCCATGTTTAATGGATATCAGTTATCAGTTATCTCCTGTTAATTCCCCACTTCAAGTTCTCCACTGCCTTAACCGGGTATTCCTCAAGGACACATAGCACATTGGATAAAGGCGTTGGTTAGATCCAGTGACAGGACCCAAAGAGTGTAAGTTCAATACCCAGTTAAGGCAGTGGAGAATTTGGAGTATTTGCCAATTTTGATCTTCAAAAATTAAAATGCAATGTCAATTGTTATCTTCTGTCTTCTTAATTCATGTTCTTTTATTGTCCTCGCTCCTTAATAATGTCTTTTTTCTCATATTCTGTAACACTCTGTAAACCTGTGTGTCATAGTGGCTTTATTGCCATGCTTGGGATGAAATGATTGACAGGAAAAAATGTAGTGAGAAATTCTGTCCTATCTTATGGCATCGAAATACAGACAAAACTCTCATCAATGGACTCAGACGGGGAAGGAGTGGTTCGTTAAAGCTGATTGTCCATAGATAGGAAGGGAGTATTTTTGACTTATAAAACCACTATAGTAACTATCAGTAGTTATCATCATAATGTAAATACTATAAACATATATATACAGCATAAATAAATATATACTTAATATAGATATATTTCTCACAGCTACTTTCTAATGCACACGCTAATGTATTGTACTTTATATACTGTACACCCATCTTTGTTTACATTTGAAAGGCCTGCCACCGCCAAGGGTCATTTTGAGAACTAATACAACTGGTTCTGCTAAGCCCACAAATTTTTGAAATACATCGCTGGTGATTTGGAAGTTATTTTTCCTTCAGATTTTTTTTTATTTTGCCTGTAGATTTTGTCCGTTGCATATGAAGTCTGTTGATGTGGGTGGGGGATTGTGGATGAGAGGTTTGTCTGTATGTACAAAGGTAAAAGCTGCAATTCATCATGAAAAGTATAATAATTTCTCTTTTGTCTAATTACCACTGTTTCTCTTCTTTGGTTTTACTGAAGAATTATTCTTGCTATAAATAACAGAAAATGATTTTGAAAAAAGGCTTTAGCATTAATTCTTTTCTTCCCTCTTCAGTTGGGTGAATAAATTCATTTATAAAAGTAAAGAAGAAGAGGTAAATCTTTTTTGATGAATTAGCACAGCTGAATTTAAACATAAGAATCATGTCTAAGTATTGGATGAGATCTATATATATATATATATTGTATATAGATATATTTTTAATATATATATAGATATATGTATCTATATATATTATATATTTTTGCTTTGTTGAAAGATAGAAAAAAATGAAAACCGACATATGCCTTGGAATGTTTTGTTTGTTAATTATAGAAAAAAAAATTGATTTTATAAAACTAAAATTACCTGACATTTTTAAAAGGCTCATTTCTTTAAACATTATTTTTTTCTTTTCTTTTTTTTTTTTTTCGTATAGGTCTTTCTACCTCCATAATATTGTTGAAACTTGACTAATGCATGGAATAATAATACAACACAAAATGTACTTAGAACAAAATGTATTGAAACAAGAAAGTGTACACAATATTTACATATAGTCTTTTGTATATTCTTGGTAAGACCGTTCCTGGAGAATGTGTTGACTTAGTCGCAGTCGGGCAGAGTCTCTGGATTGAATCTCTTGATTCCTCCCCTCGTCTTCCCGGTACCAACCATATTTATATGGTCGGTACTCCACTATGCAAATTAGGTGGATCCTACCACAACAAAAAGTAAAGAAGAAGGGGACATGTAAATCTTTTTTCATTCATTAGCACAGATGAATTTAAACATAAGGTCTCGTCATTTTATAGTTGAAATGGCTAGATGTAACTATAAGTTCTATGCTAACAGTTTCTTCTCACACTTCTCACTTGTGGAACTCTCTAACAGCTTCTTGCTTTCCAGTCAGAGTTGACCTTCAAAAAATTAAATGCAATGTCAATCGTTATCTCCTGTCTTAATTCCTGCTCTTTTATTATTCTCTCTCCTTAATGGTGTCTTTTTTCTCATATTCTAACATACTCAGTAACTTGTTTCGTAGTCTCCTTGTTAGCACGACCGTTACGCCCTGCCAGTATCACATAAATAATGTACTATTCCGTTTTGTTCATAAGGAAAGATGGAAAAATATCATTGATGCTTGGTTTCGGCGAGTAAAAAAGAAGTGGAGGTGATGGTGCCCTCTAGTTCTAGTTCGTGTGCACATTAAAAAATTTAGAACTTAATTTGTATTTGCAAAGAAGAAATAATCCGAAAAATGTTATAAAGTTTAATGTACCTAGTTTTACCTATAGATAAAATAATTAATGTGATTTCAGGCATGACTGTAAATCAGTTGGCAAATGTTTTCCGTGAACTGCAAAATCGTATTACCCTTTGTATTGAAAATGATGGAGGACATGTGGAAACTTAAATAAAATTTCAATAAACTTTAAAAAATATAGATTTACTTCTTTCTAATACTTTTTAAAATTATTTCTATCGCAAATACAAATAAAGTTTGTTTTTAAAGTTCAAACGAATTTATGGACACCCTGTATATATATATATATATATATATATATATATATATATATATATATATATAAAAAAAACACACACACACACATATATATATATATATATATATATATATATACTTCCTGACTAAGATGATTTATGTTAGAATTAAAATTGGTAAACTTCCAAATTTCGTTTTCTTCTCAGTCTGAATATTTCCGACTGCCAGTGGAGTCGTTATCAAGATAATAATTGAGTTATCAAGAAAGTAATCGGAACAAAAATTTAACTTTGAAAAGTTCACCAGTTTTAATTCTGATATAAAACAACTTCATTGGAAAAATTATTTCCGCCTAAATACTAAACACTCACTGACGCACTGACGCACACAAAAACACACATATATATATATATATATATATATATATATATATATATATATATAAATAAACAACTTTGATATAAAAAAAGAAAAGTTCTGTCTGTTTACATTTTTGTCGTATTTTTCCAAATTTTTTTTCAGATCGGTATCACCCCATGCAAGGTCACAAGAGGAAGAGGGATCATCATTTCAACTTAGAGCTAAAGAGATCAATTAGAAAAGATCCAACTCAGTCCATAAGACGTTTGTCACGTGAGAGAGGAGTTTTAACTATGACAGTCCAAAGAGCAGTGAAAAAATATTTGAAATGAAATCGGACGTGAAACGTGGGAGGCACCTTGTTACATCAGGACAGAAAATTAGAATGTTAGAGAGGGCGAAGATCATTTTGAATAAGTAGGAAATTGATGCTGGAATAATATATATATATATATATATATTATATAATAATAGTAATTATACATTCTTAATGCTCAAAGTAGAGCCCAATAGTGTTATAAAAACTTCCGACAATTCTAGTGAGATATCTTTAATAATTTCTAAGATACTATGGTTCAAAGCTTAATCTATCAAACGAACAATTTTGCTTTTATAAGATTTAGAAATTTTACTGTTACATCCGATATATATATGCACACACACACACACACACACACACACACACACACACACATATATATATATATATATATATATATATATATATATATATATATATATATGGGGGATATATATAGGATTTTTTATAGTAAAATATTAAAACGAAATGCATTCTCATAAAGTGAAACAATAAAATCACCTATGAGATTTTTCTAAAACATTGAAGAGATTTTTATATAGTAAAGGGAAAATATATATTAAATCTATATATCAGATTAAGTATATTTTCCTAGATATCATTTTAAACCATACAATGACAATGACCTAAAACTCAGTAAAAATGATTTATTCCAGTATTTGTTTTTACGGTTCACGTATTTGATATTGTTTGACCAAATTATAAACAGGTCCACAACATCTTCAGACTTTTCACTTCATCGAAAAGGGCAACGCTTCCCCTTTCAGTGTTTAAATTTTTTTTTTTTTTTGCAAGACCTGTGCTTTTAAAAATATACTTGATATTCATAGAAAATAATGTCGCAAAAAATGAACTATAACAACTGCAATTTTTAATACTAAATAGTTTCCCTCCCCCCCTTTAGGTCTTCTTTAAAGAAATAACAATCGACCAACCGACTGACCTTACAAGAAGCATGTTATGGAGTCAGTGATCCGTTAACATGGCGACTGGTTTTCATATCAGAATGGGCAATTCTCAAAACGAGGCTCTGAAGAACTTTTAAATGTCTCTTTTGTTGACATTTTCTGCACGAATGCATATTGTTCTAAACTTGGGACGGTTTTCAAGACAAGAACGCTGGCAAACATTCCTATAAATATTTCTATTGTAATTGTTATGTGGAACATTACTTCTATGCTAATATTTTCGTATGGGACATACGTTCGGCTTCCTATTTCGCAGTCAACTTTGATATTTAAAAAAGTTAAATATAATATAAATCGATGTGTTCTGTCTTATTAATTCCTGTCCTTTTATTGTTCATTCTTCTTAATAGTGTTTATTTTTCTCATATTCTCTAACACTCTGTAACCGCTTACATCTTAGTAGCTATATTCCTTTGTGTGGGGTGAAATGATTTAAAAAAAAAACAATCAGCGAGAATTTTTTTATCATTCAATCGTGAGAGGAAAATTGTGTGTTACTGAGGTAAATAATATCAAATGTGGGTAAAATTTTAAAGTATCTTAAATCTAATTAATTACGATCACAACCTTGTGTCTGTCGATCTGGGTAATCTATCCTCCTTTTATTGTTTTGATTACAGATTTTGCTCCTTAATATGCCTTTTGAACCCGATCGCTCGATGACAGTCACTCGCAAACAAGAGTTCGCGTTCATCGTGATTGGCATTGGCATTTTATTCGGCCAATGGTTTGCCCTCTAGCGATTTTACAAGTTCAAGTTGCAAGGATGACCACTCACTGTTTCGGCTGCTGTTCGCTCAGGCCTTCTTCAGATGTCTGTCAACCTGGCTAATCTTCATGGAATTTCGAACAGAACACTTTATTTAATTTACAGGAGTACCTTGTTCTCTTCCAAGGATTTTCCAATGGAATTCTCTATTTAATCAACGAGGGTACCTTGTTATCTTCCAAGGATTTTTCCAATGGAATTCTCTATTTAATCTACGAGGGCACCTTGTTACCTTCCAAGGATTTTCAAATGGAATTCTCTGTTTAATCTACGAGGGTACCTTGTTATCTTCCAAGGATTTTCGAACTGAACACTTGAATTCAATCTACGTGAGTTTTATAGTTTGATTCCTGGAGGGTTTTTTTCTTTCGCTAATTGTTGGAGAAAGTTTAGAAAGAATTAATAAATTACCAATTCCACAGCCTCCTTTCAGACAAGCAATATGGCTTCCCTTTCGTCCTATCTACTGCTGATGTGTTCAGGGCCACCACTGAGTTTGTCTATCAAACTTTAAATAAGAATACAGCTTAGCATTCTGGCCCTCTCTGCAAGCTCAAGGGCGACGGTATCACGGGGCGAAAATTTTGCTTAACTCTTTCAGCCTTAACCACCGCTTTAACGGTGGTAGAGGAAAATGGCGTAATGCCCAGCCACCGGTTGAACGGTGATAGAAGAAAATGACGTTATGCTCAGCAACCGGTTGAATGGTGGTAGAAGAAAATGACGTAATGCCCAGCCACCGGTTGAATGGTGGTAGAAGAAAATGACGTAATGCCCAGCCACCGGTTGAATGGTGGTAGAAGAAAATGACGTAATGCTCAGCAACCGGTAAAATGGTGGTAGAAGAAAATGACGTAATGCTCAGCAACCGGTTGAATGGTGGTAGAAAAAAATGACGTAATGCCCAGCCATCGGTTGAATGGTGGTAGAAGAAAATGACGTAATGCCCAGCCACCGGTTGAATGGTGGTAGAAGAAAATGACGTAATGCTCAGCAACCGGTTGAATGGTGGTAGAAGAAAATGACGTAATGCTCAGCAACCGGTTGAACGGTGGTTAAAAACATTTGTAACTATTTTTATATCTACCGTGAAACATTCATCATCATCATCAGATCCAGAATTCTTCTCTGATTCTCTTGAGTCATTCCTTCCAAACATCTGTTAGACATCGCTGTCGGCAGGTCCTCAAGATGGCGTCCAGAGTCTTCTACAAGTTGGTCAATGTAGGTGTGATGAGGTCTTCCAGCCGATCTTTTGCGGCGTAATGAGTTCCATAGGAGGGTGTCACTCACAAGTTCTGACTTACTTCTCCTGGAGTAACCAGCTAGCCAAAGCCTTCTCTCTCTCGAAACTGAGATCGGAGGAAGGTGTCCATACAGGCGTTTCTTTGTTGGATGTTTCTTCCAGCTGATGTCCAATGCAACTCGTAACATCCTTGTGCATGTTCCGTTAAGTGATGATTCTTGGTGTTTCGTCAGTGTCCATGTTGAGCAATTCTGTCGTGGCCTTAATGAAATCCCTCTTAAGATTGTCAGGGAGTGAGAACTTCCAGATAGTGCTCAAACCATCTAGGACACCCCAGGCCTTGCCTTTGCGGATTTTGACGTCTCTCTCTCCGCTGACTGGATGTTGCCGCCGAGGTAAGCCAATTATTTGCGTATTTTGACTTAGGAGCCCAGGCAGAAGGGTTAAACTTGTTCAGGAACGCAGGACTGAAAGGGGTTAATGCAATCGTTCCTAACAAATCGTGTAATGAAGGTAGAGTTAAACGGAAACGCTTCCAGATGATTTCATACTAATGCGGTCTTCCCGCAGGTCTCTATCCTTGGACTTACACTGTTTCTGGTCTTTCTCAACGACCTTCCTGATGTCTTCATTTTCCAACTGGGTATTTATGCAAATGACACAATTATTTACTACGATCTTAGAAGCAAAATCCGACAGATCCGACAAAATAAAATTGACAACTGATCTCGAAAGGACCTCCAATCAGTGCGGCATTAGCTAGCTTTTAGAGGTTAACGTTTCCAAAAGCAAAACTGCATTCATTTATTCATCACAGAGATGTTTTGCCTGCCATCAGCATGGTTGATCCTAATCTTTTGGGGCTCACAGCATGAAGTGCGGCAACTATATTGAATCAATTGCTATTTCTACTGACAGGAAATTAGTTCGCTGTGTCATGCCATAATTTTTTCTTCTCTGAATCCATCTCGCAGATTTATAAATCTACCATTATACAGCGAAAGTCTTTTTCATGCCTCAACACAATCTACACGACAAGAAGTTTCCGTTCAAGCATAAGACTGTCGCCCCTATATGTTGATCTCAGTGTCCACTTTTATATTTACATACGCCTTCTCCTTGATATCGAACACTTACTCATAAATATAGCATGCCATAAAACAATATTTTTATCATATACATGTATATACCGGTTGTAACAGCAAAATTGTCTAAATCGTGTAACAGCAAAATTGTCCATTTGTTAGATGAAGCTTTGAACCGTTGTGATCATAGAAATGATTAAAGATATCTTAATGGATTTCTCTAAGGTTTTTATATAACTATTGAACTCGACTTTGAACAATAAGAATGCATTTAGCTCTAAGTTGAAATAAATGATCCCGTTTTCTGTTGTGACTTCCTTAATCAGTTTCCCCCTCTAATGTTTCCTTTTTTTAAAACTTATTCACCGTTCTCTTGATGGTTCTTGAATGGACTTTGAAGATGGAAGCTAGAGTATAAATGTTGGTACCATTATTGAAAGTCTGAATGATCTTTTTCCTCTCACCATTGCTCATTTGGAAAGACATAGTGAGATTGTCACAAAACGATTTTAACCAGTTATTTTTCTAGCTGAATAACTGAAAGGTTTTTTCTTACGACGAATGGTGCCAAGATGACCAGACGTCTTATTGGAAAAATTTGAAAAAAGAAACTTAATTAGTTTAGTGATCTTTTAAATATTAAACATTTTGTTGGATGGACAATTATCCCATCCTGTTACACAATTTGAACAATTTCGCTGTTACACCGATATATATATATATGTGTGCGTGTGTATGTGTGTGTATGATTTATTTGTTTAAACGTTATTTTAATGGATACACATATTAGAATAGAGGCTTTGCTTTTTTTATTAAACAGTATATTTATTTATTTACATATATTCAGGCCGGTCGATAGCTTAAAGGTAGATGGGTTATTATAATTGCTTGCATTATTAACATTATTCGGACTGTGATCCTCATCTTAATTGCAAATATATATATATATATACGTTCTTTTTATAGATACAAATATAAATGCTCTGTTTATGATAATCAATATTAACAACATTTATCGGCGTAAATGTCCGAGAAATTTTCATAGAAAATATGCGTTCTCCGACAGGAATCGAACCTGTATCCTATACGGAACCGTCATATAGCCTGACGTGCTTTTAACGATTAAGCCACAGAGTAGCGTTTCGGTTAGCAAGGTCGATTTTACTGTTTTTAAAAATAGAATATATATATATATATATATATGAATCATTCATACAAAAATTTGTCTCTTGTATGAATGATTCATGTAATTATAAATTAAACTGCACCTATAATCGAAATTAATATACACACACATATATATATATATATATATATATATATATATATATATATATATATATATATATATATATATATATATATATATACTGTAGGTACTAAAATATATTCCCTTTATTAGCCAATAAATAAATGTTTAAATCAGGTATACGTATATATATATATATATGTGTGTGTGTGTGTGTGTGCGAAAAGTGTGTGTATATAAATATAAATAAATATATATATATATAATTATTTATATATTATATGCGCGGTATTTATTAGAAAGCGCTCAATATCAGAGATAGAGCTATCAAATATATATATGTGTGTGTGTGTGTGTGTATTTAAATAAAAAGAAAGAACAGTAAGATCTATAATCCGGTGTTCTCATAGATATTTTTATTTTTACAAAATAGTGCTCAATGTAAATTTACAGAGCATTAATATTATAAATTAATCGATTTATAATATTCGCTTGACAAGAAAAAAAATTCGCTTGAGGATGAAATGGAACTAATGTCTTTAATTTAATTGCAAAATTAAATTCGTGGCTTTTAGCTTCCATTTTTGAAACATGGTTAGAACTGTGTAGCAGAAAAAAACATATTTTAAATCAATTAATTTATAATATATATATATATTTATATGTATATTTATATATATATATATATATACATACATACATACATATATATATATATATATATATATATATATATATATATATATATATATATATATATATTTTAGTCAAAATAATGTGAACACCTGACTTAAAAATTTATTTATTGACTGATAAATGTAGTTCCTCCATTAACTTTTAAAACTGTTTTTGCTTCTACGTGGAATGGAATCAAATAAGGTTTGAATTGTTTTTGGTAGAATTTTATTCCATTCTTCAATGAAAATCTTGGAAAGTTACTTCAGCGACAATGGAGGAGGACATTTGTTGTTCCTCACACTTTGCTTAGAACTGTCCCTAATGGTTCAATTATCTCAAGATCAGGTGATTCTGCTGATCATGGAAGATGTTTAATTACGTTATGAGGCTCATCATACGATGGCTTCAGATTTTTTGCAGTTTCTATGGGTGCATTATCATCTTGGAAGATGGAACTTTCTAGCAAAAGTATGATAACCATTATAAGGACATTGTCATTAAGAATATCGAGATATTTATCTGCAATAATTCTACCCTTAAGAGTGATGATAGGATCAGATTACTTGGAAATTACTACTCAAATATTACTGAGCCACCTCCATGTTTGTCTCTCACGACTATGCAGTCCGTAAACACGCCTGTTTGTAGGAAATAAAATGAAAGAAGACACATCAGACCAAATAACATTTTTCCATTCCTCGAGTGTCCATTTT